TTCATCCTCTGACATTTCCTCATCTTCACTATCTTCTTCTATCTCCTTTGGGGGAGGAGCCATTTTCTTGGAGTCACCTTGATTTTTACCAGCCTGAAATAGACAGGATAGCACATTACACCCCCCACATTTTAAGCCACTCATATTTTGCCATCATTCATAGTACAGTGCAGTCACCTCCCTTTCTCAGAACCCACCTTCCATGCTGTTAAATACCCCAATTAACATAAAAACTATTCTTGATGTCAATGTTAACACTATCTCCCACACGTTTTTCCTGTCAGGGTCTACAAAAACCAATCTTAGGATAAAGAGGCAACTTCAAGGACATAATCTTCCTCTTCCTGTTGCCTTCGTTAAGCACACCAGTTTTAAAAACCACGTCCAGAATCTAACATAAGGTACAATTTTTTTTTCATCCTCACTAGCCTACAACTGGACCATTTTAATGGCCAACAATCCACAGCCCTTCAGCCGGGGAAAACATCCTTTAAAAACCCTTTGGTAAGTTCTGGCATCTTATACCAGCACCCCCGTCTGAATTTAAATTAGGGCAACTTTAAAAAACACATTTTTTTAAAAATTAAGGTTTATTGGAGTGGCAATTGTTTAAAAAGCTTCTTAACCTAATTACCTTTGGTCTTCTGATAAGTACTCCTTTCTCAGGGAAATAACCCCGCCCCTCCAGACCCACCGGGGCCACGTGGGGGTGCTTCACAGGCCACCATGTGCGTGCAAGCCAGCACAGAAGGCACGCGGCAGGGCCACCTTCCAAAGCCCACCTCGTATACACCCATCTAGTCGGAGCGGCGACCCCATAGGTCGTTAGGTCTCCAACTGAAGCAATCCCGCCGCTCCCCTCCTCCCCTCCGGAGACGCCAAGACCCTCTTGGCGTGCCCCACGTGGCCGGCCGCGCGCCGGGGCACGTGCGCCAGGAGGCGGGGCCGCGCTTGCGCCCGTCGCAGGAGTTTGGCCTCATCCCTCCATCCTGAGGCCCAGCGCCCCCTCCCCGCGTTCAATTCCTAAGTCTTCCCCTGCCTCAACCACCCGCAGCACCTGCCGAAGCTCTTCTCCTCGCCACCAAGTAACCAAAAGCCGCGAGACCTCCCCGATAACCACGCGAGACTTCCCGCAGCATGGCGCCCTCGAACGCGCCTGCAACGGCGCGGAGGCCCTCCTCCTCGCGGCACCGCGCGCGCGCGCGCTCCTCGAAAAACAGGCCTCGACATCCGAGCTTGCGCGAGCAAATCTTCTTACCTTTGCGAGCTTCACCATGATAGCGGCTTACGACTGCGGAATGTGTGGCGGGCGAGTGGCGCAGATAAGCCCAGAGGAACCCAACAACGTCTAT